TCTCTCTCTCTTTTGTACTGGGGATTGAACTCAGGACACTCAGACACTGAGCCACATCCCCAGCCCTGTTTTGTATTTTATTCAGAGACAGGGTCTCACTGAGCTGCTAAGCACCTCGCCATTGCTGAGGCTGGCGTTGAACTTAGGATTCTCCTGTCTCAGCCTCCTGAGCTGCTGGGATTACAGGCCTGTGCCACCATGTCTAGCAGCAACTTTGTTTGCTCATTCTCAGAGTGAGCACATGGACCCCAAAGTGTAATTCAGTCTTTCATTCATTTAGTAGGCATTTATTTAGCTCTGCCTTTGTCATGGGCCCTGTATGTAGCAATGGAGATGAAGGAGGCAATGAGGGACAGTACCAGCTTTCTGGGAACTGAGTCCAGTCAATGTGAAAAACAACCAGTGAAACAGAGTGAGCATTGTTATGTCAAGGGAAGTCATGGACTAGGAGCTCCCGGCTCTACTTAAAGGGTCAGTGAAAAACCCTGGAAGAAGTGGCGTCTGAGTGAATGTCAGAAAGGGAAGGGAGACTGGCTGCTCATAGTGGCTTAGGAGTGACGCTTGAATGAGTTTGAGCAGAGGCCAGAGAGGTTGAGAGGGGGCAGGTAACACCACTCCTAGAATGCCAAGCTAAAGGGTGTGGACTTCATCCTAAGGGTAGTGGGGACCAGACCATTGAGTGTCTTCAGATGAGTTCCTGATGAGGTTTGTTTTTGGATTGGCCATGTGTGGATAATCTGGGTAGAGGAAGGGATGGAGGCAGACAGCCTGAATGATAAGGGAGGAAAACAAGGTTGCAAAACTGAAGTGGGAGATGGTGGATGATCCCAGGGTTGTCAAAGTGGGACTAGAAAGGATTGGATGGGGCAGAGCAGTATTAGTGGGACGGAAGCCCAGATGGCCAATCAGAAGAAAGAGGCAGGTGAGTGGATCATGGAAGATGCCCACATTACTGACATCACAGAAACAGAGTAAGTGCAGAGATAGAAGCATGTTTGGATTGGGTTGAGAGGAGGGAAAGTTTAGAAGAGACTTCTAGTTGCTGGCCCGTGAATTAGATGCAGACATACACTCTGAACCTTAACCTTTATTTTGTAGAAATGCAGGAGCAATTGAGGTATGCATATGCATCTTTGGGAACATGTGTATGTATGCATATGACACACATGAGTGCCTGTGTGTGTGCATGTGTGTGTGAGTGTTCTGGGGATAGACAGGCAAGACCCAGGAGACCATCAGTTTTCATCATCTACTGATTCTGAAGAGGTAGTCCAATATTCTGGAAGTCCCTCAGGGGGTCATGGGGTTAATCTTCCAAAGCACTAATAGCTATAACATTACAAAGCATGGGCTTTGTTTTCTACCCAGGATTAATCATTCACCCATGGATTTTAATACAAGCCAGACACCACCTCGCTGTGCCTCATGCACAACAATGCCAGTTACCCTTCCATCCTAATGTCTGCTCTCCCAGTGTTGTCAGAGTGAGTAGGTTTGGTTGTTATTTTTTTTTGTTTGTTTTCTTACCACCTTCAATCTTTCATGAACTGGAAAGTTTAGTAACTTCTACCCAAGGACTTTTTTTCAGAAATGCCAGGGAAGCTGCACTTGCCCATTAACTTGTGCCATGACCTGGGGCTATTTGCTCCTCTCCTCTCCTCCCTTCTGGTCTTTCAAATCCATCCCATCGTAGGGAAATTGGAGTAAGTGATCTCCAAACTCATCCTGCTCTGTTTTCTGCATTGTTGTTCTGGATCCTTCTTGAGCTGAGCTCTCTGTGTGCAAATTCAGCCTCCAGAATTTGAGGCCAAGAGAATTAATTCTAAGATGCTGCAGCCTGCGTCTGTCCAGGAATTAGACTCCAGACTCTCAGACCTAGAAGGAGCATTGAGATCATCCAGGCCAACCCTAACACTTTAAAAATAGGAGAATCAAGCCCAGAGGGAAAGGCTACTTCTTCAGAGTCAGTCATTTGGTGGCAAAACAGAGAATTGAACCCAGGGCTTCTGACTCCCAATCCAGGTGTTCTTTCTCTCACAAAACAGAATCCTGGAAGCTGGCCAGACCTTGGGACTCAAACTTAAGCTCAGCTCTCTCTGATCGCGGGGACGTCTCCTTCAGTTGCTGGCAGTGAAATCATAGAGAACTGACACAGGAACAACATGGCAGCTGGCACGGGTGAAGGGGTGGTCTAGGAAATGAGAGAACACACTTGGCCAAGCTCAGAGTCCACGTGACCCTCGCAGAACCCTGGTCTCAAAACAAACTTTTTTGGTTCAAGTTCTCCCTCTCATCAGAAATGTAACTTCCTGCATCTAAGAAGCCGGGGCTTACAAAAGGGCTCAGAAGACTTCGTGGACATCAAATAGCTCTTACAAAACCGTGTTTTGATGAGTTAAGTGTAAATGAATCAGAAACATAAGGATCACATTTTCCCCCAGTGCACATGGGTTTCAAAATTGAGGGGAAACGTAGTTTGCTAACTGCACGCGGGCTTTCACCGAACCCAAAGCATTCAAGGGGCGGGTGGGGGCAGAGAAGAAAGAGAAACCCAGCCCCCAAATGGTTTTAGATGTGGTGCCAAATTTGAAAATGCTGTTGGGCTTGCCCTCTGCCAGTAATAAAATTGCTGGCCACCCAGAGAGGCCACAGGGAGGAGAAAGGAGATTGCTTTCCCCACTTGCCCCTGGTCCTCAACAACTGTGTTCAGTTAGTGCCGCTCAATCACAGCTGTCACTGGGTCCCTGTGCTCGGCTCACTGGCCCCAACTTGGCCTCGATTTTCACACTGTGCAGCCTGCCTGTTTACCTCCAACTGTATCTGATGTTTTGGCTTCCAGAGTCCTTGGCGACTGGTCAGCTTGTCACAAGCCCCTACTCTGTAATCAGGTGACCCGCCCATCACCGGCAGAATGTTTGGGGAAGCTGTCACACATCTCCTTTGGTTGCATTCAGGAAAAACAAGAGTTTCTCGTAGATGTTTGCCTCTCTCCCTTGGTTAATGCTATCCAGGTGTGGAGTTTTCCCCAAACTGGTAAATGTCTTCCCTTCCAATCTCAGCCTGACACAAATAACCAGTAAAATCTCAGGACAGCTGTTACCTTATCCCAGGATTTGAAACTCTGGGTCTTTTATAATTTCCACATTGTCCCTCCATTCTTTCCCTTATGTTTTATTTCATTGCATCAAGAAAGTAGAGAATCATTTCAATTGGTGGTAAAAGATGATTAAAACAAAATAACAAAGGCCTTGGCTGCAAACGGTTAGTTTTATTAAATTTGCTACTGGGTTTTTAAATTGGTACCAGGGTAAATCTTTGGACAATTATATCAAAGGCTGCTGGAATTAATCAGTTGCATGTATATATATATATTTGCTCCTTTCTTAGCCTTCTACAGAGTAAGGCAGCATTGCTAAGACACACACACACACACACACACACACACACACACAAAAGAGTTTTTCCATTACCTGTGTGAGAGGGATGCACCCTGGTCCCATTGGGGAAGAAGCCAGAAGTCCAGTGGAATCTCAGGTCCTTGTCATCTGATTCATCATTTGTTGATTCCAAACCATGGCTGGAGCTCACGATGGTCACCAGGAAGAATAAGATGATGGATATTTCAGAACTAAAGGCCATTTTCACAAACAAAGGTTCTTTCTTGACAATGGGACTTCAGTGTGGCAGCTTTGCATTAATAAGGGGACATCTGCAGTGGGAAGACTTCAGTCTAG